CGAACGGGTACAACGGCGTGCAACAAAGCTGGTAAACGGTCTAAAAAGCCAATCCTACACAGACAGACTGAATTGCCTTAATTTATTCCCTCTGTGTTACAGGCAGCAAAGAGGTGATCTTATACTCGTCTACAAGATAATACATGGCCTTGAGCATGGACTTAAATTTGAGGACATGTTTCAGTGGCACCTATCACCCAATCTTCGTGGTCACTCGATGAAGTTACGGAAAACAATGTCCAGGCTGAATCTTCGTTCTGAATTTTTCACGCAGAGGATAGTGGAGAAACGGGACGATCTCCCTCAGTCAGTCGTGGAGGCGACGTCTTTGTAAATCTTCAAGAAACGCTTAGATGATTATTCGTGTCTCCTGTTTTCCCTCGACAGTCTGAATCTGAACTAAACACCCCACGACTCCGCAATTTGTTTTCTCTGAGACAATGCTACTCAAAAGAATCAAATATTGTTTTAATAGCGAATATTTTCACTGTTCGTGTACAGTTATTTCTTACGAGCTGACATGTAACCAATAGGGGTTCCAAAGGCTTTGCCTGTTATTCTTACCAAATAAACTGGCAGTTTCTGGAAAACTCGCAAGTACTGGACGGTTGCCTATTGCCCTCGGGGAGGAAAGCACACTTGATCTTATCTGTACGAAGTTCAGGAAGACTGCCCACAGTATTCCACATATACTTTTGTTTTATATATTTTCCGAAAATGGAATAAAGGACGTCCGGTTGGCTGTGATCACAGAAACATTTCTTACGAACACATCATAAATCACATGTTTTGATGAATGTTTGTCAACTCCTACAGCAGTTTTATGCGATATTTACAAGATTCTGTTGTTGGGCCGCTACCTTCTCTAATTTAAAGCAGAGACAGTGTCCATAACCTAGGTTGCGGGAGAGTTACGGTTGCAAACAATTTAAAGTCTCCAATGCCATTAGACCTGAACAAGATAGGCGCACCATTCAAGGGATTCTGAAACGAATTTACAATTGGAATTGACGTATATTTCGAGGTTAGGAAATGCCGGATTCTAGGACCCCGCAAGGAATATAAAATGAGAAGGTTGACTATTTCATATAAGTCCCAGGTGATCAGCATCCTTTAGGTTTTGATGAACAGGGATTGGGTACTCTAATGTCCATCTCACTCTAACCGTTGGCAAACCGCGCGAAAGGAGCTAAGTCGGGAATACTGACGATATTCGGGCAAGGTGGTCGGTTGGAAAATTGATGAGGACCGGAAACGTTGCCTTGGTAGGCTGACATTTTTGACTCATACGGAGACCTATCATCAGAGAATATGACAGCCTGGAAGCTCAGGCTAATAAACAAACGATTCCAGTGATCGTGCCTTCAAAATTTTGTTTAATAAAAGTGCAGAACTGACATAATAGCATACATTGGTGGTCATGAATTGTTCCGCAAGACCTACAGAGAGTTCGTTTGGCACCACATGAACTAGGCCGCACGGGCATGACGTATATGCAGCGGTTTCTTTTTAACATGTACAGACTAAGTGGCGACCGAAAATCCGATGGTAGGTTATTACGAAGAAATTCATACCTGGAGGCAATGGCGAGAGAGGACGTTTAGAGTTGGAGGAAACAGAAGGACTTATAACCAAGGACGGATTACGAGAGCTAGATGGTCGAATAACACGGGTAACGATTGAAACCTACAGAGGATTTGGACTGTTATAAATGCAAAAACGGAGATAGATACTAGTTTCTAATGTGCGAAATCCCGCATCTACTTGAGTAGGAGCTAACTGGATGCCTTGTAGTTAAGAGGATTCTAGTAAAATGCTATCGAACAGTTTTAGCCTTGGAACGGATAAACTCGTTTATTCAACCAACACTGACGTCACAACTCTTCAATGAGAAAGGATAGCAATCGACAAAATAATAATTTAGTTCCAGGAAGGCAGAAATTACTAGAGAGATGGCCATAAATCTGGGTAGTTTTGGTTATAATCCTACGCAGGAGGGGAGAGACCAAGGTTATTGACGTAATCAGAAGAGTTGTCCTTCGCGTTGGAGGGTTCGCCCACCAAGGTACCTTAAAATAAGATCGCTCCTTTTTCTTATCACTGCCAGGATTGTCTTTTCGTCTTAACCATCCATATAGACCTTAAGCTCGAGAGAGGAGACGTGAATTTTCGTGGACCAGTTGAGTTCAAAACATTGTGTGCAATCACACCAGTTCCTACAAATGCCTTTTGTTAAATAAATTATCGATGTTCCGTCGACCTAAATCTGTTCGACTAGATAAGAACCGTAAGAAACTGTGAGGTAAATTTGCCGAGAAATTAAATTTTCCGTCTGCAAGCGAAATATTGCAAATACCTTCACGCTTAACGGTTTACAAAAACAAAGTAGGTTCCGAAAGCACGAAGTCGTTGTTCTATCGCTTAACCCCTTTTGCATTGGCATTTAACCCCTGAGGACTCTATGGTACTAAATCGCAGATCCTAACTAAACCTGTACCTCCGACTCTACCTTCACAAAAGTTTGAACTGCACGACCTTGCGGGTTGTCACTTTTGAAATTCCGTTTGCGTGCTGACCGTGCAGGATGAACCGAGAAGGTGGGAAGAAGAAACCTCTCAAACAGCCGAAAAAGCAGCAGCATGAGTTGGATGAAGAGGACATGGCCATGAAACAAAAACAGAGGGAGGAGGCTAAGAAATTGGCTGCTGCAAAAGAAGTAGCCAAGAAAGGCCCCCTTGGCGTTGGGAAGAACAAGATTTCAAAATAAATTTCGTTGGCCACATATATTAGACATTTTTGCCTTGTCGAATAATAAACTTGTCACTTTTATACTCGGACTCCTAAAGGTTGTCTTGTACAAATATACATAGATTCCGCCTTCCAGTTAAGTGAATGGCAGGGTTTACGTACACTGCATGGCCTTCAGAATGGCGGGTTCCCCGCCTTTGCAACCCTCGGGTTCGTAGTTATGCTGGAGGAACTAAAACCTGTTCTATGCTTTTGACCGCCTTATTTAACGCCTGCTCAAGTCATTTGGTGGCCGTCCGGATATCTTTCCGCCGATCATCTCTTTTTACAAGTGTGCGCATGTATTCTAGCTAGACAAAGCATTTCGGTGACATGAATTCTGTACCTCGTCGGGTTTTATCTGCAGCCTACCGGTAAGGTTGTCTGCTGTCCTTAACAGTTAACGTGCGCTGTTTATTTAGAAGACTGAGTTTATTTCCTCCACCATCCATGGGGTAGGCTAATAGAACGAATAGTGCGAATAGAATTATATGGAAGTAGGCGCGCAATGCAAGGTTCCAAAATTAATCGCTAGTTTTGTTTGGAATGCAACTTTTCTCAGCCCACCACCCTTTGTTCCGTCCCCAAATCTTTAGATATCACTCTTATTACACGCTCTTGTCAGACGCCTACTCGTAAGCCTTGCCAAAATGCTGAGGGCACACTGTTTGCGTCATTAGGTTGACAAACTATTTATCCCGTAGGGGCGGAAATTTCGGTTTGATTCCTGGTTTCCCCTTATGATTTCTCTTACCAAGGGCATTTCCAGGCGTATTCTGTATCATGTCAATCGGCTTTGTTACCACTCCCTAAAGCCATATGATGGCGTGTTCCCACACCTGCCGTCGGGCAGGGTGTCCGATAAGCTGTCTAATCTATTCACTAACTGCCAGACTCCTGATTTTGCGACGTAACCGATCGGCACGGCCCATGTCCTGCAATTGCTCGCCAAACTAAACAATTATTTTCTAAGTGGCATTCTATTTCCGAGCAGTGAAGTCTGTCGACTTCATCCTCTGTGGGTCTGACTTAGCCACGCCGGTTCACGTCCTTAGCCAGTTGTCGCAGTTCTGTCGCTAACCCCAACCAGAGTTCGAAACGATGATGCCGCGGCCGAACTCTTCGGACATTACGCACAACTGACAGCAGTCCGCACTGGGATCTTACCTTTGACCTGTTCCATGGGCTTGAACCGAATCAGGTTCTGGACTTGTGGGGTGCCGTTAAGAGAAACCAGTGAGTCACTGCTCGAGAACTACTTTTTACACTTGTTGGGGTTTCGCTAATGTCCGATTGTTATGCGTCCCGTATGCATGTTGTGACGTGCGTTCCCATTCAGAATACAAGAGTGATAGCAAACAACCACAGCAACTTGTCTTGTAATCCTTATCGATGTCTAGCTTGCGCGTCCTGATTGACCGTAGGCGTAGAACATTGTGGGACACTTTTACTGGATGATCTATTTTCTGGTCCGCCCTCGTGAACCTCCATCAAGGGGAGTTATGTTCTGTTGCCGCACAAATGTCGTTTAAGAAAGACTGGGATCTGTTGGACCGTGTAAAATTACGTCGGAAGGAGCGTCCCTGGCCTCCTAACCACTGGCCGAGCCGGTCCGAATAGTTCTTCATCACAACGATCGGCGGCAGCGTATCTAGTAAGATTAATCCAGCTGATTTAAGCCCAAGCATCTCCACGTACTGAAGGGCTGTGTCTAACAAGGTTTTAAGGTGGACCCTTCTCAGTTTAACGGCAACAGTCCAATAATGCGGAAGCTAACACTGACCTTGTCAAAATTGCATTGGTCTCCATATTGAGTGACCTTAACTATCATGTTGGTGTTTTCAACACTGGCATACTTCACTTTGAGAGTCGCTTCTAGGCAGCGGTGGCTTAAATTCTTCAACATTTCGTGCTCGTTTTCTGAGCACAGAGTTAGTACTGGTCGGACGGGATTTTCGATGCACGCGGACTTTGTTGATACTTGACATATGGCGAAGCGTTCATGAAAACTTGCGAGGGATGCCTTTGCTTGCCCACCAGCAGTTTCTTTCTGAGCCCAACCAAGCCGGATTTCGTGCTGGACGTGGATGGGCAGACCAGATATTCACACTGAGGCGCATTCTCGTATTCCGCCATAGCTACCGACGGCCGTCTACTTCTTTGACTTTGCCGCTGCGTTCGATTCCGTTCATCGTGAGTCCCTGTGGCGGATAATGGCTCTAGATGGTGCACCGGCAAAAATAATCACCATGATCAAGACCTATTATCGCTCCACTACTGCGAGGGTCCTGGTTCGCAACGACCTTTCCCAACCGTTTGGTATTCGTTTTGGCGTTCGACAGGGCTATATCCCGTCGTCCATTCTGTTCAACTACACTGTTGACTGGATCCTCGGGAGGGCTCTACACGAAGGTGACGGTGTTGAGTTTGCACCCGGACTCCGACTGATTGATCTCTACTATGCCGATGATATCGCCTTACTTGCTTCAAGTTTTGGTGATCTGCAGTCTATGTTGTCACGGGTTAACGAGGTCGCTAAATCGGACGGTTTATCCATAAGCGCTGGGAAGACTAAAGTGTTTTCGAGCTGCATCCCAAACCAGGAGAAGGCACCCCTCGAGATTGATGGCTGTCAACTTGAGGAAGTAGACAATTTTAAATACCTCGGGGCGAGGCTGCTGCCGGATGGACAGAGTAAGGACGATATCGTCCCCCGAATCAATGCTGCCCGCTGGGTTTTCTCAAGCCTTCAGAAATGTCTATGGATTCGACGTGACTTCTCCATCGCCACTAAGATTCGCGTGTACCGTACATCTGTCCGGTCTGACCTTCTCTACGGTTGTGAATGCTGGGCTTTGTGCGTGGAGGACGAGCGAAAACTGGAGGTATTTGACTACCACTGCCTGCGGACCATCCTTCGAGTGAAGTTTACCGACTTCGTCTCAAATGAAGCAGTCCGCGCTCGCTGCGACAACATCGCAAGGATAAATCAGGCCATCAAAAAAGACGACTGAGGTGGTTCGGGCATGTTCTTCGTCGTCCACCTTAGGAGCTCAGTGTTACTGCCCGACACCGTTGCCCCACTGGAGGCGTCGAAGAGGGGGCCAGTTTAAAACCCCAGCCCGGCACAGTTCGTAAAGACATGGACGTGACCCTTGGATATTCGGTGTTCGGTCTCCGTCGTTGGCAAAGGGAATGGGTTGAGCTGCCCAGATCTGCTGCCGCGGATCGTCACGCGTGGAGGGGTACAGTTCGTGGCATCAGCGAGGCCGGCTAGATCAGGCATGATCGCAGCCGTATCAAGTACAAGTAAGTACTTCAGACATAATTTATTCGCCAGGCTGTCTTTTGGTCAGAAATGCAACTCAGTTATATTATGATTATTATGGGGAAAATGCCCCTGTTCACTCTTAACATCAAATCCTGAAATTCATAACGGCTTAAACCTGATGGAACAATGTCGCCGGCGCGGTCGGCGAGGGTTACCCATCGTCCGTTCTCAAGCCTATCAACCCCTGATAATCTGTTTAGCATAGACGTGTGGAAGGCAATGCTGAATATTTTATGGCCGGGAGCGGTTGCAGTAGTCGGTGGTTCACAGAGTGCAGGAACACTGCCAGACCTTGGTCACAGGGACGTTTTGTGCCGTTCAGCTCCGTTTATCGCCGGAGATTTGCGGTAGCATGAGTCGTACTGTGAAACAAGGTCGAAAAAACAGCAGCAGCCGTTTGTTGATAGGCACAGTGATCTTGAAAAGTGAATCCCAGCGTAAGTAGTTTTCCGTTGTATTCAAGTTTCGCCTGGCACGTGACTGGGTTGAATCTCCTAAGACCACACTAACTTAAAAATAGTTCACGTATGGCTGACAGTTACGGCAGTGTAGCCGACGTCTCCGTTGCTATATCTCATATATTTGGCCGTCTCTTATTTGCCCTTGGCACGGCAGCGGCTGTTGGGACCTGTCTTCGCTCCAAGTTCTTGGGAAACCGTATGAGAATGGGCGGCGCAAGCGTTGTGATCCACGCCACGGCGTCTGCGGGAATCGACGCTCTTCGCAATCCCGGCTCAGGTATGCGAGCAAATAGTATGCTTGCTGGACTGCCCGGTCGCGGACACTTGTTTAGTGCTGGATGTTAGAATGTGCAGACGTTTCTAGGCCCGGCATTCAAAATCTTATGACGCAGTTTTCGTCGGCACGACGTGTATGACTGCTGCCTGTTAGAAGTTCGGACCCCCGACTCAGGCTCCGGGAAATGAAGATTACGGGGTTTACCTCACGCTACATCCTAGTCCCATGCGGCTTCTGATAGACAGGCTGTGAAGATTGTCCTCTCAGGACAAGCGAATCATGCACTGCTTCTTTGGGAACTAGTTGATGACAATCTAAGTTATTTAGGGCTAGAAGAGCGCTGTGCCGGCGTTTCAGTCGTCCGCTTCTAAGCACCACCACCACCACTAGCTTCAAGCAAACGCGATAAAGAAACCTTATTCGCAAGTCTGAGAATCGACTGCAAGATTCCCGCGGTTTGCCTCTTCCTGTCGGGACATGGAATGACGGGGTTAGGCCAAGCTTTGGACGTGGTTTTCTATGCCACGGTGGTAGATGTTGAGCATTGCCGTCTAGAATTGCCTGTGCTACCAAACGCACCTAGCACAATCGATGGCATCTTGTTAATCGGTAGTCTTCCGGCTAGCTTGATTACGTTCCACAGGTGACGCTTATGGGCCAGAACATGTTCCTTCGCACACGCCTAGTAATTCACTTGTCACTGGAGCCTCGGTTATCACGTGCGAGACGCTTTGATGTTGCAAAGTAACGGCAAACCAACACAAGCGGGCCGCTGGGTTCAGGAATCTTGTCGGGCTTTGCAGTCCAAGTCAAGGGAGAGTACAGTGGAAAATGGTCATCATTAGAGTTCTCGGTCAGTGAATAAGCCGAACGGGCTCGAGAATTCGCGGAGCGATGTCGCAATGACTGAAGCGGCTCAGGGACGTTACAACTGCCCGGCCAGACAGGTCGGCTATGTCCCGCAGAGGGGATCCCCCCCCCCCCGCCAATTTCGGCAAATTACAGCAGTGTCGACTAGAGATTATCTCAAAAAGTATCAGGCTGAAGGGTCAACCTTCATGTGAGAGGCTTCCAGCGCTTTCTCGAATCTGATCACCAACCTATCACTCACTTCCTCTTAACTGCAGCAGTTTTATTCCCCTCCCTCCAGCCTGTATAGTCTCATGACTTCCCTTCTCAGGCAGAAGTCGTTGATGCTTCGTAACAGCAGGGCGCCGCAAGAGGACGGCATCATCTCCCTGAAGTCTATGAATTCTGCGTCCCCGTCTCTACGAGATGAGCACGTTTCCGATAAGTGGTGTTGGGCCATCCTTGTGTCTGTCTTCAGTGGAAATACGGCGAAGCGCTATGTGAGCTACGGTACAAGTTCTATCGACATCTCCAGAAGCCTGCTATTGTAATTCTCAGGCGATTTCTAAGGCTTTTGAGTGGACGCAGCTTAACAAATCGCCCGCACTGCGGCGCATTCCTAATCACCAGCAACCGCCGGCCGTTTGTTCGATTTCACCGCATCGCTCGATTCGTTTTATCTTGAGTCTCTGTGGCCTGTAATGTCGACGAAACTCAGTGACATGACCAAGGCGTTTGACAGGGTTGTATTCTGTCGCTCATCGTGTTTAACTACGACATTGAGTGGATTCTCGGACGCGCACTACGCGGTCTTGGCGATTTGGGATTTGTTTGCCGACTGACTAAATCGATGGCATTGCTCTGCTGGTGCCCAGTTATTAATGTTGAGTCTCGGTTGGAAGATGTCGGTCTATCCATCAACCTCGGAAAGAAAAGTTAAGCTGCGTGAGTTTGCTGCCCAAATGGTCAGCGTGAGGGCGATACATTGCCAGTGTTGTTAACGGGTTCTTGTAAGTTTTACTTGTCTATCAACTCGTCACAAGGGTTCTTGTGCGTACAGCGTACCCGCCCGGCCGGTCAGAGCATTATTTTTACATTCCCTCAGAGGTATTACTTAATCATAAATGTCCCTATCAACATTCTTATTCCCGACAACCTCCCCTGACCTTGCTACTCACCGTACCTATCCTAATTAGGAAGCCCCTTGCCCCACAGCTTAGTACGTTGCGCTATGACCATGTCGGATTGTAATGTCGGTGGCGAACATTTGTAACTTCACCTAACAGGCCTCAGAACTTAGCACCACTTATCCAGTCTGTCTCATTGGTCAAGTGACGTTGTCTTTTGGATGGATTTGGATTCCTATTGACTGAAGTAAACCACGCAATCACACCGAGATAAATGAAAGGCTACTGACTGGAGGGAGTTCTATTTACAGATACTGGAGAGGGTGTGAAGAGGAGAGGGGACCGCGAACGGCAAGAGCGGTCTCAGTGGGACTTCTTGAACCGTTTAGCTGCCGCCGTGGATAGATGTGGAGGTGGCCGTCGATTTCGGTTCTTCACGTTAACTTCATCGTAGAAGTGCCGACCTGCGCGGCCCTGTTTTCTCCTCAAGGCACGTTCCAGCTGGCGTCGGCGGCTCTTTGAAAGGCCGTTGGCGCCCTCAGCGTCCTCTTCTTCAACCTCCTGCGCCTCTTCCAGTTCATCCTCCGAGTGTGGTGCCAAGTCAAAGGTGCCGTCGCCTTCCTCATCATTCTCCTCCTCCTCCTCGTCCTCTGAAGCCTCTTCCTTTGTCGGCTAAAATGGGCGACAGAGAAGCAGGAGGATTCATTGTAGTGTGTTGCTACTTGTGGTAGGGGGCGCTCACTGATCGTTCTTACGGAACTCACTCGTTCCGTTGTGCCTTACGCGCATTCTCTCGAGCCCAATCAGCAGCCGCACAGCGGCGCATGATATATAGGCAGTATGCATTACCGACAAAGACAAGGGAGACTGGAATGGCCATTTCTGGCTTATTAGCCGTCGTCAGCCAGCCATACCCAAGCCCGAAGTGTGAAACACCCGAGCCTCGAACTCGCGACCTGTTGGTTAGAAGTCCACGCCTTTAACCACTGGGCCACGAGCCCGTTGCCCTGCCGGTTTCGATCGGTAATATACACTGGCAGGGGGCGTTGTCGTTGTCGGTAATACCATACTGCCTATATCATACGCCGCTATGCGGCTGCTGGTTGGTCTCGAGAGAGAGAGCCCGTAAGGCACAACGGAACGAGTGGGTTCCGTAAGAAAGATCGGTGATCGCCCCCTACCATTGTATATTCCCGGTAGAAACCGACAGGGCAACAAGCTCGTGGCTCAGTGGTTAGAGACGTGAACGTCTAACTAACCGGTCGCGAGTTCGAGCCTCGGGTGTTCCACACTTCGGGGTTGAGTGTAACTGGCTGACGATGGCTAACAAGCCAGAAATGGTTATTGCAGTCTCCCTTGTCTTCGTCGGTAATACCATACTGCCTATTACTACTTGTGGTAGCAACTATGAGGGAGTAAGTAATGGTGGGGACGAAGGAAATGGGCGCCGTAGCGTGTGGTGTTCATGCAACCTACGACAATTCTGTGAATTCCTGCACTGGCGAGCAGAAGCGGTTAGTGGTTGCAACAAACACCTCCAGGCCGCCGATGTGCGCGACCATCGCCGGGCAAGATATGCGTGCGAACTCGTCAGTGACACGGATGCACGCCCTACATAGTCACTGCTATGATCACAGGCGATCACATAGGCTCACGGGCTGACCAATAAGGGATGACCTTGCGGGACGTAGGAACAAGAATCACAAATTTCTGGCGGAATTCTCGGCCGACAGCCACTGCGGTGTTCGGGCTACTGACGACGTGTTGTATGCCGGTTGACCAGTCAACGGAAATCTGCACTTCAGATAAGTCACAGGCATGAACACTAGTTTGATGACTGTCGGTCACAATTTCTCAATGAGGGTGGAGGAAGAACATTTTCAAACACGAGTGGTGGCCTTCAAATGTCAGCCTGCAAGGTTGAGTAGGTCAGTTCACTGAACATTGGCAAGCGTCACTGGAACAAGAC